GCGAAGTCGAGCACTTTACGGTAGCACAGTTTAACGAGGACCAATACCGCACACCCTCGGTCCCTACGCAGACTGATCCAAGTGGTCACCCACCCGCACACTGACCGCAGCCAGTGATGCTTGACTTCGGTGATCTGCTGGGAACCGTGTCTTAACGATCAGTCCACTGCGGGACACGAATTTATTGAAAGCAAGACGGAAAATAAGAAAAAAAAGCACGCACGTCTTTCATGCATGCAATCGATTAGCTCGCGCAAACAAAGAAACACAGTTTGAATGCGTCGTAATTTAAGTACTACTACTACTGGAGTATAATTTAATGGTTATTCAGTTGGACAGAAATAATCAGACAATAGCGCACTAAAAAAAGTTAATAAAAGTAACAAATTAAAAATTTCGAAATCTTGATTCCCAGATTATAATTCTAGAATTTCTAATACATTTTGATAAATTCCATTTAATGTTTGTTTTGTGTTAGGAGGTATGTCATTGCTTTTTTCTGATGGATTGTTGAGTAGCAGACACAATTTTTTTTCTTCCTTTTTTAGTGTCCTCGTAATTATAAGTAAATAATTACGAAATCATAATATGAAATTTTTAGATATATTTATTTTTATGAGTCTAACAATTATGAATGTAATGTTAGGAGAGAGATTTTAAAAAAATAATAATGAATCTTGCAGTTATTCAAAAAAAGTTATAACCAAAGCTTTCAAACTTTGTATTAAGGAAAAAGTTTTAATGCTATAATGTGCTTGGTTCCTTTCTAAATAACATCAGCTTTAAATACATTTTTTTTTTAATATCAAGAACTAAGCAAAACGTTAATGTAGCGTAATATCTACATATACTAGCTTGCATAGATGAGCTTTTCTAGAAAATAGCAATTTTTAAAATATCTACTATTAAAAGCCAGTAGTTACGTGTAAATGTTTAATGTTCCCTTTAAAATCGTGGTACTTTTTCATTTCGCCGACGCAAAGGGAAAGTCGCCAGTGACGGATGTAAATTCTACTAGTTTTTTATGTAGTTCCTAATTTTATCAGAAAATAAAAAAAATAAGCAGAATTTACTTGAAGCCAGTGAAATGGAAAAATACCGAAATTTTTTGTTAAAATAACCCATTCATACACATAACTTTATTTCATATATATATTATAAAAAATTTTATATTATAAATTTTTTTTTTCTAAAATGTAATGAAAATTCTATTTTTATAGGAACTCAGTATAGTAGCATGTTATATTTGACTGTTTATATATATATATATGTATGTGTGTGTATGTATGTATATCAGGGAAAGAGAGCATTAAAAAGAAAGAATAAGAAATTGCTTTGTTTGATTATGTTTTGAAGCCATTTACTAAATGTTATATCACATTAAACTTTTAAATAGTAAAAATTGTATAAATCTGGCTTTTTTTGCATTGAATAAAATAGGAATACTTTCTTTTTGAATAAAAGATACCTCTTCAAGATATGAAAAATTATGACTAATATTTAATGAAAAAAATATGAATATTTATATGAAAAAAATATGAATATTTTTCTGAGAATAATTAAAGCAGAATTAATCTGGGTCCCAGTTGTCTACATTATACTTGAAGCATGAACTTGATAATTGATAAATAATCTTTCTTGCCAGAAAATAATCACTTCTCATTAAATATTCAATTTTGAAATAATTGATAAAGATTAATAATCATAAAGTTACTTAACCTATTAACTTCTGCACTGCCTTAGATAATTTGTGTAATAATTTCATTCCAAAACACAATTTCAGGATTCTAAAAACTTTTGGAAAAGAAGTAGAATAGGTTGGTTTATACTGGTTGTTAATGCATTTTGTTGTATTGAAGAAAAATTAGTATTTCAGAACCTGAATTTTTTTGTTCAGATTTTTTATACTTTTACTATCTTGCCTTTAGTTATAGAAATTTCAAAATAAGTAGAGTTCAAAGCTTCAGAAAAAATTTTCTTATAATTAAGTTAATAAACTTAAAATATGTGTGTATCTATAAGTGCTTTATGTTTCTCAAAACAAAAATAATTTTAGAATTTGCTTGGAAAACCTAACCAAACCTGCAAAGAAAAAAAAAACATTTCATCTTTCTTTTTTCTTTATTTCAGCTGTGATTTGAAATTCTAAAATATTGAAAATTTATCCCAATTATGAAAATATAAATAATTTTAGAATTTGCTATAGCTAATTTGCTTGGAAAACTAACAGGGTTTGTTGATTTAAATCAGCTTGATTTAAATCAACTCATTTTTTTTTATATATATATTGATTTAAAAAGCAATGCTTTAAATTAATTGTACTTTTATTATTAAATTATATTATATTATATTTTTATTAAATTATTACACATTAATTTCAAATCACAGAATGAAACTGATTATGTTATTAAATTTAATAACCCAGAATTAGAATTGTGCTATCTCTTTTATCAATAAGTATTTTTTTCTCATATGTTTACAGTATCTTTGACATTATCAGATTTTCTATAAAGAAATTTTCTGGAAAAAGATTCCAATGAGTATTTAGATTTTTTTTAAAAATTTTTTTAGTTTAACATATCTATTTTGATAAAGGATTAAAAATGAAATTCTCTATTTCATCTTGTCTTTAAATTTCAATCATGCATTTGTTTCAAAATGGTTGCTGCTATGCATTCAAAGCATTCATTAGAATGAAAAATTGTTTTTAGGTAGTTAAAGCTCCTAAAATATTGTTATAATATAGTTTTAAGATTAATTTTATTTTGATTAAACATTTATAAAGTTTTTTTAATCATAAATCAAAGTTCTTTCAGTATATTTAAATAAAAATCAAAACAATCCAATTTAATTCAAAAAAATCCAATTTAAAAAAAAAAAATCTGATTTTTTTTTTAAAAATCAGGAACCTTGGAAACTAACCAAACCAAAGAAGGGGGAAAAAATCTTAAATTTTACCTTCAATTATTACAATTGCATTTACTACCTTTTTTAGAACAAAATTTTTATTTTATTATTATTAATGTAATTATTTTTATTTCAGCTGTGATTTGAAATTCAAAAATGTTGAGAAGATTTATCCCAGTCATGAAGAATAAAACACTTTTGTTCAGTTACCTGTTGCCTTCTAGCATTCGATCAGTTCAAACGACTACTAATAGCACTGATACTTGTTCAAGTACCCGAATGGTAGACATTTCTTCACTTACATCAAAGAAGACTCATAAAATTTCAGTAAACAATTTAGTCATGAATTCCCGAAATATAAAGGAACCTTTAAAAAAAGTTAGAAAACTTAATCATAAACTGTTTTCTCCAGAAAAGCCAACTGAATGTTGTAATAATCAATGTGAATGTTGTGTATGGTTGTTGTATGTAAAGGAAATTGTAATATTTTATGATGGGGACAAAGATAAAATTGAAGAAGCTTTAAATTGCATTCCGAATACAGAAACTCAAAACTACGTTAGGGAAAACTATGAATCTTTCATTTAAGCAAAGTAGTTTATGAAAAACTTGCTCATTATTATAAGTCAAAAAGTAGCTGCATTTTGTTGAACTGTTATGTTCAATATTATTTTAAAAATAAAGTTTGTTGCATTTGAATTTTAAAAAAATCGCAGAATTTAAAGAGTGAATCTGCAGTACTACCTTTACAAAGAAATTTGTCAACACAGTCTGACAGAGTTTAATACAGATTGCAAAACTAAAAATTCAGATTAATTTTAAGTACATGATGTGAAATTTGCAAATAGCACAGGGAAACCTTTCCAGATCGGCTACTATCTGTTCCACACTAAAATGGTCATTGGGAAGTTGGTCGTTCTTAAGGTTACTTTCATTGGCTTCAAAATTGTTATTGAAGATACATGATTTTTCCCAAACTGTTTTAATTTTAGTCAGTGTCATCTACTTAGTGTGGAAATGCCACTTCTGCTGGCGTCATGAAAAGACAGATTGATGTATAAAATTAGGCATCTGGAAAAATGATCCCAACTGATATAATTATGTGTAAAAACAAATTTACCAGTTGTTAATGAACTTACTTATTACTTGTTATTAATTATTAATGAATTACTTATTTTAAATAAACAATTATGGAAGCTCCATACCGCCTATACTTCCTTGTTACTGTTTCCAGTGTATTTTAAAACCATTTGGCTCACAGCATGATCATTGTGTTTTGAGATTCTTGCAAACGTGGTATTTGATTACTTATTACTTGTGTTTGCAATGCTAAAGGTGCTAACACTGACGTAAGATGGTGCACAGCTTGCAACAAGAACAAACAGTAATAAACAAATGGAAAGAGGCCAAATCAGGACTGCCAAAAAATTGAGTTATTCAAAATCTAGCAACCATGTCACCTTTTTTAACAATATATCTATAAATAACTAAAACAAATTTTCACTTCAAACTCACCAGAATTACTTAACAATAATTTNTAAATAAATGGAAAGAGGCCAAATCAGGACTGCCAAAAAATGGAGTTGTTGAAAATCTAGCAACCATGTCACCTTTTTTAACAATATATCTATAAATAACTAAAACAAATTTTCACTTCAAACTCACCAGAATTACTTAACATTAATTTCTTTTGAAATACGGCAGATTTGAGCTCAGAAATTATCTAATTTACTTATTTTATCGTAAACAAAACTATCTGTTTGAAAATATTGCCTCGCAGAATAAGCTATAGTAAGCAGTTGCAAACTTTCTAACCGGAACTAGAGATGGTATTGAGCTCGAGATTGTTATTGTTTACATTTATATTGAAAACATCATCCATATTTTTTGTTAAAATTTGCATTTAATTTCATATCATAAAAATTAGTTAGCTTTAAAAGATGAGATGAGTTTGAGATGCTTGTTTTTTCAAAAATAACTTTTATTTCTATTTTAACTTTCAACTTTAAAAGTACACCATTGATAGCATCATCTTTAGTGCACTTGGACTGCAACACGAGGCTATAACATGCTCTAAATATGAGCCTCACACAAATAATTTGATCTACTTATTTTTTTAAAAAATTTTGTTTTGATATTTTTTCGTGTTTCCTTATTTGACTGTTTCCGCATTTGGTGCAGATGTTTGTCTGGTCACTAGGAGAGGTTGTAATGGTCTCTCCTAAAGGTTTTCTTCAACGCAACGGAAAAAGTTCTGTGCTTCTCTATTGTGGTTGTAAATAGAGGTGGTCTTTCCTGGAAGTTTCACTGTATCTTTAAAAATTATACATATAAACTTTATAATGTTTAAATTTAAGTTGAGTTTTATACAATGACATTCATAAGTTACAATAAATCCTTATACAGTTCAGTCTGTAATCAATTAACTGTAGAAAAAAATTCTTTATTTTTTGTTCCTTTCCCTGTTCTCTCATTTTAGATTTTTATTTGAAATAAGTTTGGAGAATGGATTTGCAAAAGGAGTCTTAAATGAAATAATCTACAGATGCTGGAAGATTTCTGCTACTGGGTTAAAGATTAAATTGAAATGATATATTTAAGCTTGTACAAAGTCAAATAAATCATATTTAACTATTAAAATGGTGCACCCTCTTTGAGAAAATTAATTAAAAGGGTTTCCTCTTTTAAAGAAGTGCCTTGGGTCAAGTTTACAGTTATGAAGAATTTCCTGCTGTGGAGTGCAATTGCACTAAATTATGTAACCAGACAATGTCAACTCTGTTCCTAATTCTGGATTGGTCACTTTATTTATATGGAATGATTTTGCTTTAATATATTTAAATTAAAACTATCTAATTTATTATTTGCTGAAGTAAATATAAAGTGAAATGATTACTGTGTATTATGTTCAGAAGTTAAAAAGTAAAGTAGATTTATGTGGTGTATTTGTATGAATAGAGTTCAATTATATGCTGCCTATTTGTCATGAATTCTTTTCTTAATTTATTATTTTTAAACACTAGATTAAAAACCATTTTTTGTAATTAATTAAATAATTAAGATAGTTTATTCTGATAAACGTTAAACTACCTATGACGGAATTTTTTTGTAGAAAAACTAATGAAATATTTACATTTTAATTCATAGGTAAGAGCACAAAATTATTTTTATTTAAAAGAAAATATTTACCTGTTATAAAAACTAATTTCTCATTATTTATTAATAGAATTGTATGTGTTACTAAAAAAAAAAAAAAAAATTCTCTCAGCTGCTTCAACCTTTGAGTACTAGTTCTTACATTATCTGAACTTTAAACTACAGATTTCCTGGTTTGAAAAAGTTCCTGTCAGAACTGTTTAGAGTTAATGCTCAAATGGTTAGTAATTGAAATGTTAAAAACCACATAGCAAAGCACATCAAATCAATGATTTTAGTTTTGAGATAAAGATGAACAATTCAAATATTATTGTCCTTTATGAAATTTACCACTCCAAAGATTGTAATTTTTTGGACAAGAAAATATTATCTTGAATCAATGCGATGATATGTGACACTTCTAATGATTTTATGTGATGATTATTCACATGATGTGAATTATTCAAGTAATGAGTGCCTTTATGTTACATCTTTCCTCGACTGGATATCTTCCCTTCATGTACTTGAAAAAGGTGTTCTTTTATGAGAACCGTATCTGTTTTACAAGTTCAAAATTTTAGGTAAAAACGTAACCTGTGTGCAATTTTTATTTATTTATATATATTCAATATTGGAGTGCATATCTTGTAGATGTTGCATTTTTATTGCCTCTTATAAAAAAAAATATTGTTATACTATGATATTCAATGTATACAAAATATTTAGGTGGTCAAATTATTCAAATACCAAGGAAAAGAACAACTTTTATCACTACCTTTCTTTTTTAGTCTGTGTTCTTATGATGAAAAAGTTATTTACCATTAAATTATTAAAAGGTTTAGTGTGATTTATACTTTGTAATAATTGTTATTTTATTACTTGTTATTGAAATCTCATTAAAAAAATATTTTTTATATATTTGCTTGAATTTTTTATTAGTTATTTTATAAATGTGTCATAAACAAAAATAAATTCAAGTTTTATTATTTCAGTATTAAAATTCTAATCCATCTGACCTTTGTAAGTGGAATGCATTATTCTTTACTTTTAATTGTTCTCACTTTAATGCTATATAGAAAAGAAAGGTGTTTAACCCAATTTTGAGATTTGATTCTTATACTAAACTGATATTTTCTAAATTGTGAGTAAACTAAATTGTGATTGTAAATAAATGTAGCAAATTATACTCTCCTCTTAGGAATACTATTTTACACTATCTTTAACGTGCTAGTGTGTCTGCAAATGCTGAACTAAACATAACTATTATCCATATCAAATTTAGTATACAGATCCTCAACAACATGGCTAAAGTCACTTGTGACTTAATAACTTTCTCAGACCATCTTATCACAGCAAAACAATCCTATATAATATTAAAGTCCTATTGGAATTAAAAAAGCATATGCTTTCTTCTTATTTGTTAAGAGTAAAATTACGATTCAAGGAAGTGTCTTAAGTGAATTTTTAATAATTAATGCTCTAATTAAAAAAGTTCCATATGAGTTTATTTCAAGTTCATTTTTAGTTTCTTTCATTAGATTAGCACAAGTGCTAATTGCAAAATTATCTATTAGCTCAATTGCAAAATTATTTTCTACACTCTTTAAATTTAACAGTACTCAAGATCTACATGTAATATTCAATTGGAGGAAGGGGCACATAGTTTTTCAATAATTTTTTCGTAAATTTTGCTTTTTTTTTGTTGATTGTTAAATTTGTTTATTTCTATTTATGCTCTTTTAAAATTGGGTAAAAAGTGAAAGGCTTGTGAGTTGTAACGTTTCTAACTGCTTCTTTTTTTAAATATTATTTAGCATTATATTAAGAGTTGGAAAAACCTTTAAAGTGGTTACTTATAGTTTAGAGAATTTTAAACTAAATTCAGTTAGAAACATAAGTTTCTTCATAAAAAAATTACATAAAATATTGGAATTTTAAGCTCTTCACCACTGAAAAATTTTATATTCAAGTACAATCTTAATTATTTCACATGGCAGTTTAACAATAGAAATCAATATCAAGAGTAGTAAATCAGAATCTTCTCTTTTAAAAATGCCATTTTGATAGCAATGATATTGATGAGTAAACAATTTTTACTTAGGTATTAAGAGATTATTATGTTCTAAAGCAAACCCTGTGCTAGCCTTAATAAATCTAGCCTATCAGATACAATTTGTTTTCTTTGCTACATCATTTAACTGTGAAAATATCTAATGGCATTAAAATCTTAAACTAAAGCATTAGAGTCATGGTGGCTAAGTGGATAAAGCACTCGCCTCATAATGAGGTGACCTGGGTTCAATTCCCAGTAATAGCTGGTCTATAAGAATTCTGCACCGACTGCAGTACTGATGTAAAATATCCTCAGTGGTTGACGGATCATAGGTTAGAATCCCCTGCTGTCAGGCTAACTGTGGGAGTTTTTCCTCTCCATGTAAGGCAAATGCGGGAAGTTCCATCAAAAAAGTTGACCATGAAGGCAAATCTCTCCAAATACTTGATCCAAAGGCTGGGATAGCCTGGTTGGCAGGGCACTGGCCATGAGTTCGTGGGTTCAATCCCAGCCAGCCGAAGACTCCTCATGTAGTAAATGGTGACTGATGCATGTTAAATCTGTCGAGTCGCAAAGTCCTCCATGTTCCCATAACAAATTAATACCTCTGGGGGTACTGATCCAGAAGTTTCTTTGTCTTCTGGATTGGTTCAAAATTACAAGGCTACGGAGTTGAACATTGGTAGTCGAAAATCCAAAATTGGGTCGGTTGTTCTACGACGGATATAAAAATAAAATACTTGATCCAGGAGTTCTCTTGTCTACTGGATTGGGTTAAAAATTACAAGGCTTTGGAGTTGAACATTGGTAATCGTAAACTCAAAATTTGGATAGGCTGTTCAACGACACATTTTAATATGAACAAAGGCATTTAAATTTCAGTATTGTTAAATGTTTCAGAATTGCTTTTGAAATTATAACCATTTCTTTAGGTAATTAAAAGATGAAATATTTGGTCTTTAGAAGAATTATTTCATGTGATTAAAAAAGAAATATATTTACATGACTAAACAGAACATTTACAATTCATTCTATTTTATTACAAGGAGTTGCTCAGGAAATCCATTTTATTTTATTCAATCAGTTCAGACACTGAAGATCAAAATACACAGATTAGAAAATTGAGTTGTTTCAGGTCTTAACATACAAAATGTTTCATGTGATAGAGGCAAGGATTTCAAGGAAGGCTTGTTAAAAGGTACATTTTGTTTCTCTTCAGTTTTTCAAACGTAAAAACTGGTCTTGGTTGAATACAGTTTGAATAATCTGAAGCATAAGAGTTTGTCTCAGTTAAATAAAAACAAATTGCTTGGAGGGTTTAAAAAAGTGATCAGAAACTGTCAGTAAAACATTTCTAATGAAACATTCATGAATAAATCAAATTGCTTTTTATTAGATCACATCATATGGCCAAAGAATGTTCAAACTTTTTCAATCTTAAGAACTTGGGGGGGGGGGGGTTTNAATATAGTGGGATTTCTACTATGTGCAGACTTTATCACTCTTTCAACCTGTGACACTTCACTTCGTTTTTTTTTTCTAAAAATATTGCCATAGAATTATTTTTAGAAAAAATTATGCTATCACTTAACATATGCATACTGCCAATATGCATATATTAAGTGATATTCTTAAAACTAATTATTAAATAAATTTTCAGTTAGAGCAAATCTCTGAACATAAAATACCTCTGAACTTTCTTTTTTAAATAAGCTTGCTTTTTTTTTTTAGATTAAGATTACAAAACGTGATATCTGTAGATCGTTACTGTTTTTAAAAACCAACTTCAAATCTGATTTCCTGGAACAAAAGATCAAAGAATAAAATAAAATTAAAAGCAAAATATTTAATAGTTTTTTTTCATAACATATCGATGTATTTTTCAATCGAACAACAATCGGAAGTGAAAAATGACACACAGGAGAAATATTTATTAATATGGATTTCAAATTACTGTATATTAAGTAATCAATGAAAAAAAATTTTTAAAGAAATAAAGATATTCATAAACAAAATCTGAAATAAGTAGTTACTTCTATGGAACATGCGAAAAACATTTCAATTAGGTACTCAGAATAAAGAAGTTATGATTGCAAAAAAGTGTGCAAATATCCATGTTCTCTTCATATCTACTTTTCACTATAAATACATATATTACATATGAAAAAATAATGTGGATACAGGCACACTTCTCAAAAAAAAATAAGTTAAAAATTCAAAATCACTCTTAAAACATAAAAATCACAAACTTCTCAGAAAGCAAAAGATAAAGCATGAATAAAGACAAAAACCCTGACAATTTTAAATAGAGGTACAGGCATATTGAAGAATTGTGTTTTTTCATTATTAACAACCAAATAAAATAAAATACACACTTTTAATAATAAAATTTAAAAAATAAAATTGTTCATTGGATAATTACCAGAAACAATAAAACAAATTAACTCATTGCTATGAAGTAAGTTAACTATTTATTCCCTTACATTATTTAAAAGGAGCTACAAAAATCTGATGATCTATCAGTTAAAAATTAATATTTTATGCGGTGAACAGAAACTCATATATTTTTTCCTTTCATTCTAATTTATCCATATAAAATTTATTTCTAAATTCCCTTTTTTTGAAACTACATTTAAGTTCAGAGAGAGAATAACACAAAAAAATTTCAGACTAAAATAAATGGTAATATACTTTGATATTATATTTTTATTTTCCCATTTAATTTTTCAATAATTTATACTTTTAAACATTTATATTGCAATAGGTCTGTGATATTTTTAAAAATAAATAAGTAACACATACCTGTATCACATTTAATAAGAATTTAAACTAAAGTGCGAAATTTTTCAGGGTTTTAAGATTTTATCTCGAGAAAAAAAGATTGGTAATCACTGTCTTAAATAAAATAATTATTCAACAATATAAAATTCCATAAATTCATTTCTTCTTTTTAGTGTTTATTAAATAAACTCAGCTTTACAAAGAAATTTCATAAGCAAATAAAATTTTCAACCAATTAATCTCGATGAGAATAAAATTTTCAACCAATTATTCTTGATGAGAATAAAATTTTCAGCCAATTATTCTTGATGAGAATGACAAAGAAATTTATAAACCTATTCATATATTAAGTTTTTTTTTTTTTCTTTGTTTATTAGAAAAAAACTTATTAGCTTTTCACCAGTCACATATAAGACTAAATATTTTATTTATCTAATTTTTAATTTAGTTTCAAATGAATTTTTAAATGAACCCTACTTTAAATAATAATTAATTATACTTTTCCAATATAAAATGACTACCAGATTAAAATGGCCATTGCTTGAGTTTTCTGAATGTTATCTAAATAAATTCTCTAAAAGCTTGAAAATAGGTAATAACTTTAGGCATTCAGTGTAAATTTGAAAGTAAATTTACTATCATAACTTATTAGTAACTTTGTTCTACCTATATTATATTATTGAAGATATGTTCTCTCTCTAAAAAGCAACATAATTATCTTTTAAAGTAAAGAAGACAAATTCAATTTTTAAAGAATATTACTCAATAAACATTTATTATAACCTGTAAGTAAATTAGAAGTTAATTCAATTTTAAACAGTAAAAAAAAAGTTAAAAGCAACAATTTTCCAGTCTGAAGATCTAGTCAGTTGTATTATTTATAGTAAGCTTTGTAGTTAATAAATAACTGCAATAAAAAAAAGTTTATATCTTCTATTCATGAATATATTAGCAAAACTGAGTTTATAACAGTCAAACAATGCACATATTTTTATAATAAATATTAGGCCTGTTTCACATAATCAGAATCTTGGACAGTTTATCTTTCTCTACCAATACTTATATATCCTTATTTAAAATAAGGTTGATATAAAAAAAAGTTTTAAACAAAACTAATTAAACTTCAAATGTGACACTAAAAAGCACTTAATGAAGGGAAACCAATTACTCACTGATCAATTCCATAAGTTACTGAAATTAATATTATCTTTTTGCTTAAGATGCATTAAATTATTATGCCAAATTTAATTAACACCAAATGAAAATAAAATGAACTTACTTCCTAAAATATTTTCTGACAAGTTTAATCAATAATCAAGTTCAGTTTAAAAAAAATTCAGAATTTATTTTTAAACTAAAATGAAGAAAAAATGCAACAATAAAACAATATTAATCAATAATCAAGTAATGTGATAATTAATTAAATTATGGTATTATATTCCCTTCATTATCTGATTTGCATTTATTACCATATTTATTGTCAGCTTTAGGAAAGAGTATTGTTCCTGATATAACAAACTTTCTTGTTGGACTAGAAATTAATTTTATTTCCAAGTTTTCACCAAAAAAAAATTCTTGCATAGCATGATATAGTTAAAAAAATGAAACATTTTAACAATATTTTAAGGCAGTTGGCATAATATAACAAGTAACAGGCAAAGGATGTTCGTAGTTCTTTCTCGTTATACCAGAAATGATCATTTTTAGTCAATAATTTTTCCAGAAAAATTAAGTTGGTGCATAGTATAAAAAATATAGTATTCCATAACAAGAAACTCAGACAATTGGTAAACAACTCTTTTTTTAAAAAAAATAAACTATAATGTTTGTAGCAGATAAAGAGTAGATTAATAGCACAGCAGGTAGTAGATTCATAGATATAACATTTAAACTTTGTTATACCAACATTGATCTTTTTTAAAATTATTTTCAATTTACAATTTTTTCATGAAAAACATAGTTTTCCTAGACAGAAAACTCAAAATAATTTACTAAGATGAAAAAAATTGTAAAAATATATATATATTTTTTTTTAAAGGAGGGATATTTTTACCATAAATTTAGGCAATTGGCATAACATCGTAGGAAGCAGCTATAATTAAGAACAACAACACTAATTGAAAAAGCAACTGCTATTATAAATCCTTATAAGAAGCAAAATAATAACAATAATTTTCTGCAATAAAAAATAATCTGAAACAACTGAATATTTAAACAAAATGGCAAAAACTTAATGGAATTATAGACAAAAGCAACAAAATTTTGCTTACCACTTTCATGTCGATATTACATATCTGTATTTTAAGCTATAATATTTCAATATAGCAGATGAATTATTCATATTAACGATTACTTGTTCTTAAACAAAAGAAAATTTAAGGCTATGTTAAATTATCCTAAATTTATTCGATTTAAAATATTAAATAAAACTTTGCCAGTTGATAGAAACATATTTAACTTTAATGAAGAACTTATAGCAGAGTTGACTATGGATCAGACACTGTCTGCACTAGGCCTGATGTCTTCAGGCTTATTAGATCAATCAAAAAGTATCTTAAAGGAAAGATTTTTAAAATTCTTAGAAGGTATATATTTATAATGAAGCACAAGTTTCAATCGGGAAAATACTTGATCTAAGTGCTTCAACTCAGACCAAATTTATAAGGGAAATAGACAAACCAATTATTAATTAAAATTGAAACTCAATTTTAAAACAAATATTGTATTTTATTTTACTTTGTAAACCATCTTTAACCATATTTAAGCATTCATTACATTTATGAATGTAATAATTGCTTTCATTATGAATTATTTTACACTGGATTACAGAAATCATTTAAAAATGGATAAGGTAACAGAATATCCAAGTTTGTCATCCTCCCTAATTATTAATCAAAGATTAACTGCTTGATTAAATTCAGCATCTTAAAATAAAAACTTTAAAATTTATAATATTTAAATTTTTGCAATAAATAAATCTTTTGATACTGTTGAACAAAAATACACTTAAATATAAGCAGTTAACTAGATAGCCTATTTGAACACTTATGTCGCACAAAAATGAGCGCTTGTCTAGCGCTACACAACTTTTTTAAAATCAGATCAAATATATTAAGAAAATGAAACATCGTAAAAGGAAAGTCTTATGTTTTAAGTAAGAAGCTTAGATTATATAGTGTATATTCAAAGCAATTTTTTTCTTTCATTTGAAAATACTTTTTTTCACTTAAACTATTTTATATAACTGCAGCTTCACTAGGTAAAGGTGACGGATTAGGCAAATCAGGAATATGACGACGGCTGAGAGTGTCTCCAATCAAATTTGACACCATTTCCCGATCTTCTTGATTTATAAAGCCATGAAAAACCAACTCTTCAGAAAGACAAGTAGGAGTATCTTGTTGAGTCACTTCACAAGACAATTGTCTGTTCATTTTATCATCCATTCTTAACAAAATTGTCATGACATAATTCTGTCCTTGCTCTTGAGGTTTAATATTGCACATAATATTTACAATTCGTCTAGTTTCAACATCTTGTGCTTCGGGTGATGTCGATTTGGCAGAATCGGTCATTTCAGGAGAGGTTGTTCGCTTCTGAATTATAGGAACATGAGTAGCCGCGTACGCAGTAAGTGGATAGATACCATTTCGAACATCATCTAAAAACTTTTCCAGCTCTAACTTTTGCGCATCAGTCCGTGTTATTTCAGGGCCAGGTTTACCACCCTTAACGGGCATCATAGCCAATACATCATTCTGGTGATTATACTTTGAACGTAAAGCCTCATCCGTTAACTGTTCAGGTTGATATGATGCTGAATTTACAATTATATGTGCAGCTAAAAGTTTTAAAGGATGCACTTCAAATATTATGGGATGAAACAACAATTCACGAACTGTAGCCCTTTCATTCGGATTTTTACTGAGGCATCTTCGAATGAAATCTTTTTGCAACTGGTTTTCAAGAGATTCGATGGTTTTGTTTACGACGTCTTCAGTAACTTGATTTCCTGTGTCACTAGAGATTGGTATTTCCAATGCAGCCATTTCTAATGCGCACATTCCAAATGCATAAACATCGACAGCTTGGGTCAACAGAGGAAATGTCTTGGTTCCATATTCTGGAGCTATAAAATGCACGTTTTTCAGATCTTTTCTGTACGTTTTAACATGATAATGAATAGCATCTGGTGCTACAGAGCCTATTTTTATTAAGCCATTATGTTGGATGAATATTGTATCACAGGTAAGATTACCATGAATGATGGGAGGTGAACAGGAATGCAGATAATTTAAGGCTGAGAGGATCTGAGAACACCATCGTTTCCATGAAAGTAAAGGCAATTTTATAACATTGCGTTTAGTCTTTTTCAAAAACTGCTTCAAAGAGCCACTCGACATGTATTCCGTAATAAAAATAACTCTTGGACTCTCAGAGTCCTTGTCAATCCAATACTTGTGAAGTTTAACAATGTTAGGATGATCTAGTTGAGTTAAGCTATCGAAAACCCCTCGGATTTTCCCTTCTTGATACTTAAAATTTTTACGCTCTGAAAACTTAACTTCATTCCAAACAACTTCAACTCCTTCTTCAGTATCCATGGCTAGATATGCAGCATCTACGCCGGGTATGTCACGTTGCTGTACTTCTTCGCGTCTTTTTAGCCATCTTCCGCAGGGGCTTTCCTCTAAGTTTTCACTCTCGTCTTCAGAATCATCGCAACTTTCGCGCTTTGCTTTGATATCGGTTTCTTGGTCACCACCAGTATTAGTAGTAGCCATATTAAATTAATGTTTCTAAAACGATTTCAACGATATTAATGAGTAAAATACTAGTAATTTAGCTTGATTTGATCAGTGGATTATAAATAAGAAACAGAAATCACTAATTAATTCACGCATCAATCTAAATCTTCATAAATCCATTCTGAAACGGAAACAGCTTAGCTTGATTTATTGCGTTGTTCTTGAATTACAAAATTGTTATTCTCATGCTCATGTTAGCTTCAGAAATTTAATTGCTAGATGAATCTTCACCTCATCTATAAAATTATTTCAAGAGCATTTATATTGTGATGAAATATTATACATAGTTATTTTCTGACATATAATTGTTTATTTTGTAACTTAAAACTTATGAAATTTCATCTTGTTCATTGTAACCGTAGCGATGAAACTGCGTTGCTTAGCAACTGTTGAATATGAGGCAGAAACGCAAACTGACAAAAATATTACTGCTCTAAAACATTAATAATCCTAATAACAAACAAAATTGACGACTACTCTCAAAATATTAATTGTTATTAACGGTTCGTAGTCTTCATTTAATGGCGAACATTATACATCAAACTGGATGTTCTCAGCTTATACCTGGAAATAATAGAAATGATGAGAATATTGAATTCAGTCATGGTGATAAATGTATTTCTCAAATTGTTGATGGTCAGTATATTTAGTTAGTGGTTTATGTGCCTCTATAGTTCTGTTTTAGAATTTCTATAGCACATCGTTATTTGTTTAATCCTTTTTTTTTAGTTACTAAACCTTGTTTTTATTAAAAAGTGAGCATTTATTATTATTATTATTTTCTCAGCATTTTTGTGGCATAATGCAAGGGCTTGAGACATTGATTTTTATCGTAAATTTATAAAAAAAATTACTAAATTTTATTGAATATTATTATTTGTGCAACTTGATACTTTAAATTGTTTTGAATAAGAAATCTGATTTAGATAAAATAAATTAATTAAAAAAACAACTTGATTGACGATGCTTAAGAATTAAGTGAAAGAAATGAAAGTGATAATTCGTATTTTTGTACCATTAGATTATGAAATATGGCAAGTAGAAATTGGAAAATATGATTCCAAATCAAGACACTAGTCGAAAATTAGGGCCTCTTGATGCAATTTTTAATTTTTTTTTTCTCCTCCCCTTGTAAAGAATTTTTTGCGCTTGTAAAAAAAATGTTTTTACTGATTTTCAGAACTCATTTGCCCAAATATTGACTTCACGTAAGAAAAAAAAAATTATAATAATAATAAATTTTTTTTTACTCCGTATTCTTTAATTTTCAGAAATTTTTTTTAATCGTTATGGATTCCTAAAAATAACGTAACTTGAAATGAAGAATTTCAAAATTTGAATGAGCTTTGAATTGGAATTGTTTCCACCGAGAATAAATATGAACTTAATTTCATTTATTTTTAATAACATATACTTTATAAATGCTTTTTGTTAAAATTTAGAGATTTTACCCTAACAGCAATATTTACTTACATAAGAACTTTGAAATAAAATAAATTATTCTTCATATGTCTAATAATGGCAAGCGTATGATGTTTTTCTTAATGTATGGAGTAACAGTTTTGTTGGTTATTACGTAATTGCAGTTATCAAAAATAGTAATACATCCAAATAACCTTTTCCTCCTAATGATACTTAATTTAATTTGTTATGATTTGCGTATGCCAAAGTTCAAACGTATAAAACTAAAAATTTAGGTAGCTAATCGTATATTTAAGCAACGAGTGAAATGCTGCTCTGTTTTCTGAAAAAGTTTTAATAAATTAGTAGGGAATTAATTTGTAATACTTGTAGAAAAAGGATAATTACGCCCACTCTTTTTAAGTGTTATCCCAAGATAACTGCCATAAGCTTGCTTTTCATATGATAATTTGAATTTCTGATATGTAGTCGTGGTAAAATTGCTTAAAATGAACATACTAAACTAAATACTAATTTAAATTTCTTTACCACCAGAAAATATATCTTGACAGAACGGAGCAATTTGGCATCTCTGCAGTGGTTATATTTGGTTGTTCTTCTTCTTTGCGCAGGAATAAAGTGATAAAAAAAAATTACAAAGTGGTACTTTACGCTCGCCTTCCAATTAGGCGAACCGGATTCGAATCCCAGTCGATACGAATTCTGCATCCGGCTTGCACCGACCACATTGCTAACATGAAATATCCTCAGTGGTAGACGGATCATGGATTAGAGTCCCCTTGATGTCCGGCTAATCGTGGGTAGTTCTCGTGGTCTTCCTCTCCATGCAACGCAAATTCGGGTTAGCTCCATTAAAAAGTCCTCCACGAAGGCAAAATTCTCCCAATGCTCGATCTTCTTGGAATACTAGATCTCGACTTCGACCTTTGTCTTCTGGATTGTGTTCAAAATTACAAGGCTATGGAGTTGAACATTAGTAGTCGTAAACCCATAAAATTGGGTCGGCTGTTCAACGATGGTTATATAAAATTTAAAAAAAGCGGTACTTTAATTAGTATTAATTTTTATTTGTTTACTTTATGTGAGTTTAAGACATAAATGAAGGACTAAAATTCATTATACGAACCGCCGGATTCGAATTAGTACGATGTAGCTAAGCTGCCCACAGATTCTCAGTTTTACTCTAATATAACAAGTTTTAAAGGGACAAAACTCTTATTATTATAATGTTTCTAAAATATCTAAATCTATTTATTATCATTAATAATAATAATGATACAAAAAGGGGCAATGTATAAAATTACCCTTAAAGGTCTGACTGTGTAATTACGAAAAAATTTTAAACTTTTTTTTTAAATTTAAACCTTTGTTCATTAGCTTTCTCCATCTCTCTAAATTTTTGCTCTGCAATGGACATTGCAGAAGTTTTTTCGCATACTGACAGACGAAACCTTTTGCAATAGATAACGGAATAACAATACTTTAAATGCATTTCAAAAAAAAAAGAAAATACTTAGATTTTGAAAAAAATCACTTTACGCTGGAATTCTCTAAATTTTGTATGTAGATTTTGTAAGAACTAATTTTTCAGCAAAAAATCACTATTGAACGATATATGCAATTCTATTTCATTGTATATTTGATATGTTTTTAAAGATTTTACTTCAAAACACACGTAACCATATTATTGATCCAGAAAAGAATTATTTTGATGTTTATGGATTACAATTTGTTACAGAGCTGTTAGCGTGACACAGTTTTATAATTAAATTGCCCTTATTTTGAAAAAAATATTTTACAAATTTTTAAAGTTTTCTTTAGATTTATAATTTTAGAGCCTCTGCTTACCGAAAAGAAAAAATTGCATAATTAATGTTGGATTGAAAAAAGTTGTGTTGAACTTTAATAGATCGATTGAACATTCATTAGGTTGAGGAAACTGAACAGTCGAAATGATAGAAGATAAATGTTTTATATTAGAACCCAGCTAGACTTTTCAAGAGCACGTTTTAAAAAACCACTGTTTTGTAGGATTGTCGTATCCGGAAAAGTTGATAGCGGATGCTTTCAATGCTCAACAGAGAGGGAGATACACAAAACTTTGGAATGAAAATTTAAACAAAATAGCTGATAACAACATTTCTGAAGCTTATAAAGGAAGGGATAAGAAGATTCATCAATGGAAAGAATTATTAAACAAAGAAGTTGATAGGTAAAGTATAAGTTTAATTTGCTTAGTGAAAAAGCATCGTCGAAGGCTACATCGTCATATAAAAGTATGCTTTTTTTGTGAATATTATGCTTTTTTCAAAACTGCTGTGAGTTTGCTGCAATTACCCATTCATGTTTTGTTAAGTTTAGCCTTTCTAAGGCCAGCGCTGTCTACGCTCAGTCTGAAAATGACGCCGAACATCAATATGGAGAAAAGCCACAGTTTTGTGAAAATGAAAAACGTTTGTGGTTTAATTTTTTAATGCTTAACAACTTTCCCCATTGCTGCAGTATAAACATTTTCACAAACTGAAAATAAGGCGTTAATTTTGGTAACTTTCATCGACGTGAAAAAATATAGCAAAAATAATTCTTTACGGCAAGATTGAATATATAGTTTCAAATTATAGCTTTGCTTCAAGTGTGAGGCACTTAAATTGTAGATTTTTTATTTTCCTTGTCAACAGAGTTTCGAAGAACTTTGTTAATTGCTAAACATAGTGGAAGGAGCACAAATAATGCCTATTAACAGATATGCTATAGTTTTGGTTATAAAAAGAAGTGCAAGAGTGATGATTAAGGCATGCGTCTTTGATTTTAGAAAAACTTTATGCTAAAACAATACTTTTCCTACATACTATATAAATATGGTTCTGAATAATTTGATTTTTTTCTTTAAAAGAAATTAATATCTGATTATTATTTTCTTCAAAAAGTTTTGCTTTGTCTATATGATATCTAAAACTTTTTGTACAACCTCTGCATCCGTATGAGGAGGGAATAAGAATAGAGAATTAAATATTCTTTATAAAGCAAATGAGGTATTGTACCCCATGTCTTTTTTCACATTGAATCGAATGAAACTGAATTTGTGACGAGATAAAAAATTAGTTTTGAAGTACTTATAATGGTTTTATGTACAAAAAGTACAATGTTTGATTTGTACTTATTTACCCTTTCTAGACAAAAGAATAGGGATTTTTTTTTGCATTGATTAAAATGAAACTAAACACAATTAAATAGGACTGATATAGTTCTGAAATTGAAAGGAATTTTCTGTATAAAAATTACTATTTTTAGCTTGTACTTATTTAAAAAAACTTCTAAACTATTTATCTTAATAACTCCGATTTGGTTTAATTCAATTTAATGTAAAGATACACACAAGATACAATGCCTTGTTTGCCTTTATAGCTATGAGGGAGCACTGTCAAAATTGTAAATAAGAACGAGTCAAAAGCAGTACTTTTTAAGCATAAAATAGAATATCTTATATTTAAAAATACCTAGCAACTTATACATAGAAATTTCTAAACTAATAATGCATTTTATCGTGTTTGATGTCATTCGATTTAGTCTATAAAATGCATAGGAGGCTGTGAATCATTTGTCTAGATAGCATTGTCAGATGTATAATTAAGTATTAGTCCAACATTGTATTTTTTATTTGTAAATCACTATAACTTTTAAACTAGTATAATTAGGATAAACCTGTCTGTTTAAAGATATTCTATTACCTATAAAATCACTCTTATTTCTCTTTTTAAAAAAATAGGGGAGCGTACAGCGAAGAGCATGGGAGTTAGAGGTGAAAATAAAACCCTTAGATACTAATTTTTCAAAGAAGCTCTTTTTTGTCTATAATTACGGGGCTAGTTCTGTATTCGGACATTTTATGTATTTTTAAACCATTTGAATGGTTTCTAGCAATTTATTACACATATTTTTATCACAGAACTTTAATTTTTATGAGAGTAGTAGTTCGTGACCATCTTTAAAATGGTAACTTCTCTTTGCATTTTAATTGCAGATGTTTCTAAAAATGGTAAGCAAAAATAAGTTTTTATTTTAGTGAAGAAGTGACTTAAATTGTTTGTTGAGATGTAGTGGAGGCTTAAAAATGTTATATCACATGCTTGAACCACAGAACTTTTATTTCAAAGCGATAAATAGTAACACGTTCATCTTTAAAACGGTACCTATGTATTTTATATTATATTAATTTTTCTAAAGAGAACAGGAAAAAAAAAGTTTTTACATTTTGAAAAAAATTAACTAAATTGTAACGATTGCAATGGATACTGAAAAATTTAAGTCTCAGATTTACGTTGTGGAATAGCCTATGTTTTAATGGCAATAAACGATTCAACTTGTGTCCCTGTTTTAACCCTTACAAAAAGTTTATGCCTAGGTAAAAAATTTACCTAAACTTCAATGATAATTGTACAACAAAAAAATATTCTCACAAATTTAGATCTCGGATTAATTTTTGTGACCTTATCCTTCTTTTAATTGGTACAAGACCTTATCTACCTATCCTCTTCGTGCCATCTGGCACATAAAGTCTCTTTTTTTAGGCAACCCTGTCCTGAGACAGTCTTCTTGCCTCCTCCCATTCATTTAGTTTTGCTTTGCACAGAACTTGGTGTATGTATATTTGCCAAGTAAGCCTCAGCCTTTCTCTTTAACGTATACTATCAGGTGCCCAATTAAGTGCAATGTTAGCAGAGCTATTCCATCCCGCCGACCAGACTCCCCGTGTAGTAAATGGTGACTGATGCACGTGAAATCTGTCTAGTCGCAAAGTCTTCCATGTTCCCGTAGCAAATCAAGCCTCTGGGGGTACTGATCCAGGAGTTTCCTTGTCTTCTGGATTGATTCAAAAATTTCAAGTCTACGAAGTTGAACATTGGTAGTCGTAAACCCAACATTGGGTCGGCTGTTCAGCAACGGTTATCAAAATAAAAAAAAAGAATATGCCCAGTCCATCTTCATATGGTACCAAACACTTTGCAGCTAAATTATGAGAGTTCAATACTAGAGTACGACAACAGGCTAGAGTGCATGCTTGGAAAATAAGTGGACGCCAAGTTTTGTTCAAATACTGTCGTTTTTTGTTGGCACCCTCTTCCGATTTAGACACTCTAATCCAGGGCCTTTTGAATAGCGTAAACGGCCACCAGACACAATGTTTTTAAGTCTATAAAACAAGGGGTTTAACTATAAAATTTCAATTATTAAAAATGAAGCATTTTTGAGGCATTAAGTTTAACAATTGTAAATAGTAACCATGTAAAATCTGATATTTAAATAATTAATGAATGAATATACAAAAATAAAGGTGTAAATATTTATTTTTTTCTTTTTATTCAAATGTCTAATGCCTTTTATGTTTTACTAATTGTTTACATCATATGAGCAATTCGCAATGCACGCAGTAATTTTTTTCTTCTGCTAAATGCTTGATAAATTGTCCATAATTTTAATAACTCAATTTATGTATTATTCATTAAAACGATAATTACAACTGTGGGATACTGAGTACTTTTCTCTTATATGAAAGTGGATAAAATCTTTTTTAAGCATAAAGTATAAGTGTTTTAAAATATATATTACAAATATAACAGTGCATTTTATAATTATCTCAATATTTCAAAAATTGCCAAAGCAAGGTTAGAAGTTGCGATTGAGTGCCCGAATTACTAAAGGTACCGTCTGAGACACAATGGAAAGAAAGAAATTTTAAAAAATAAGGTTATCAGGACTAAGAATTAGGATTCTCACGGGCAACCTGAGTGCCTAAGGAACCTCGGGCTCTTCTGGAAGTTGCACATGCTCAAAAATGGTGATATAATAATCAATACGATATCCTTAAACAACAAGAGACCTTCAGAGATTCAGCGGGGATCTAATTTTTAAATATGTTCGAGTGTATGGCTAAACTCGAACTGGGAAATTCGGGGTTACAACAGTAAATGAAAGCTTTTGTTATTTTACAAAATTGATGATAAAGAGTTGATAAAAAGTTGTTGACATAAGATAAATGAACCGGTACCTAAAATTTTAAAATCACACAATTTTCATTTTTCATAATTAATTTCTTTGTATAACTGATAGGTTTTCTTCCGCATTTCTATATACCTGCAATTACTTTAAAAAAGAAATTTTATTCGAAGTCCTACAATAAGATATATAAAGTTCTGGTTCTGAGATTTCACTTTTTAGTAAAATCTGTCGATTTACCTTAGAAATTAGTTTGAAAAAAAACTCTATCAGTGAAAAGTTAGGAATCGCGCTGCTCTACTGTTTCATTCAGGTACATGTCGACAGCTGTTTTTTTTACATCAATTTTAGCTGAATAATTTTTTCTTACTATGCTATTACAAAAATAAATAACGCTTCCTCATCGAATGATAAAGAAACTTATATTGCAAATTTAAATTTATAATGTTTTGTTTTCAATGTTTAAAGTGTTTTAAAACATGTGCTTTAGCTTAGCAAAAGAAATTGAATGTATCGAAGAATGTGACAGAGATGTTTTTAGAAAGCGGAATTACTTTGCTGACCTAAGCAGAGCGTCGCAAATGACAGCAGAATACAGAAAACGAATACCAGACCACACCTCGGATGATGAAATCGACATTTTGTTGAAACAAGTACGATATATGTATTAGTCTATTAATGTAGCTATTTTTATATACTTAGATTTTTATAGTGCATCATTAGGAATGGTTGCTAAATAAGTATTACACTTACATTCTGTTAAATATGGAGTAAAGAAATTACTTTAGAGAACAGTCTTATTTCTGTTGCATGAGATTTTGGAACAGATCTTATGTATTTTCACGTCTCAGATTTCAAATCTATAATCGTTTTCTCTCTACAAGCTACAGTTTTAATGCAATTCAACAACATATTCATAACTAGCATTTTTTAATATTCCCTTGAGTGAACACTAAATATCCTCTCTTTTCTGTTACGTAAGGAGTAGTATGAAGAAGGCAATAATATATTTCAGTAGATGCGATACGTTATGGTCATATGTTTTTTGTCTTCGTGTTATTTTAAAAGGAGCAGGCAAGTGTATATAAGGATATCAACCTTTATAAGCTCGTATATTCTTAAAAAAACAAAACTAAAATTACTGTTTTTAAAAAAGTCTGTAGCTTTCCGAACGAAAATAATATCAGATTTGAAATTCACACACCCGAATTGGGTAGGATTAAATTATTTATATAAATGCAACAAAAATTTTGTTATCCATTGTAATTTACTGGTGAATACCGTTATAACTTTTATTAATTTCATGCTGATGATTGCCAAGATATTTAAAATTTCTATGTTTATTATTGATCAAAGCATGTGATTTTTCTGCTTAATAAGAATGGCACTATAATAATATAAAACAATTTTTAATGACTTTCTTTTCAAATTACATGGAGATGTACTTAAAAAAAATTACTTTAATTCCTGTAGGAACTTTGTAACTTGGGTAAAGCAGATGAAGATATGAGACAATGTTCAAATGATTTTAAAAATTGTGGAAGGTAAAATAGGTTTTTATTATTTTTTTTATTTTACTATAATTTATTACATAATGATAGCGTCTGATATTTATTTCAAATTTTATCACAACTTCAAATGTGCATTTTCTTGTTTTTATTTCAGCTATTTTTCAAATAATAAAGATAATCCTTAATGTTTCATAAGCAAAGCTGCTAAGCTGGTTTTAATTGCAAAGATAATATCTGCTATTCATTACTTGCAAAATATGTTTCATTTCTTTGTTATTTACAGAAAATTGAAGAATGCGCGATCTTCACTGATGTCCGAAGTCGAAGCAAAAGTTATGACTTTAAATGTCAATAGACGTTGTCAGCATATGGAACCTCTTTTAAGCTACCCTTATATACCAAGCAATCACCCTATCGATCAAATATACCGTCAAAAGTAAGACAATCAAAACAAGAAGCAAAAAATTGATTACTTAAGGACTAGTTATTAATTATTGATTTCTTCTCTTTTTTTTATGCATTGCATATTTTATGTCATAATGTATAATGTATAATATCTGTTTGGAAAGGCCATATGCTAGGCTCGTGAATAATTATATATATATATATATATAATTATTCATTTTTCTTGTAATTCNTATCCTCCCTCGTTCAAACTCCGTAAGTTGCTTGAATTTCTTATTCTTCCGTCGTGGAGGCATACTCAGGTCTCACTAAACGTTTGCCACTAACAAATAATCATAGACTATTTTCAACGTCCCGCTACAGCACTTTATTTATACGCTTTCAGCATCAATTCAGAGGGCGCTGCGCGCGCCACGCACGCGCGATGGCTCTGAAACTTTATTAATTTGCATAATATCCTATAATTGACATTTGCTGCGAATTTCATTTGATTCTGATGATTCCTTCATGGTGTTGCATTTTCTACAAACAGCAGTTTATATATGTAAAATAATTTAATTAAAATTTTTCATTATAAAATTTTATTTTTTATCTTTCTTTTCTTTAACTTATCCGCAACTTGATTCTGATTCGACAATGACTTATAAATGTTCATTATTTAAAAAAAATTGTTGAGAAATAATGTAAAATTTTAACATTACTACTTACATATGAATTTCATTAACTGGTTGCTAAATTTTATTTCCCAGTTATAAAGATGACACGAGTTCAGTTTAGTGTTACACAAAGTATAAATTATAAAAGAAGTAAAGAAAACTACTCGTTTACATTAACTATTCATGATAATTTGCCATCAACTGTGCTCAACCCTTCTATTTGTGAAATTTCGATATAAATAATACATTAATCATTTGACCTTTACAACATTAGCGAATGCATTATTCAGGTTTCAAATATTTTGTTAAAAAAGGAAAAATCCAATATTATTATAAAATTCTGAAATTTAAATAATGAGAATTATGCTTCGCTATTGGAAAATTACTGTTTCTTCGCATGAACATTCAGGTCTAATTTTCAGGGTGCTGAGTAAGTACTGAAAAATAAAATTGAAGAAAAAGGCTTTTAACATTAGTATTTTAGTGTTAATATTGAAACTGATTAAAAATGTGGATTAACTCCTTCAGGAATTTTTTCCCACTTCTGATTATAGAGATTAGTAAGTGATCAATCCTTCTCAGAGCAATAGCAAGTCTAACCTTAAGACGTCTTCAGACTGAATTGTTTGGCACAATCATAAAGTTAATATAGGTTTACGTAGAGCACTACACAAAACAATTTTTGTACTTAATTTTTATTTAATCTACACATTTGTAACGACAAAACTTTCTTTGATTTCAGTACAGAAGAAGAATGGGCCAAGAATTTAGATGATAAAATTCAAAATGCAGTGGATATTCGAAGAGAAGCCTCTAATGCTCGATGCCGAGCGGAATCTTTCATGAAGCACCATCTCAGTTGCACAGTTGATGCCTGGCATAGAACTAGCAAAGCCCTCATAGAATCTGTGCAAAGAGATGAGCGACGTTCGCATAACATCCAGAAACTTTTAAAAACGGTTTGTATTCTTAGTAGGGCAGCCTCTCCATTTTTGATATACTGGAACTATTTATTAAGAACAACGAGGTTTTTAGACTGCTTTCCAGCGAGAAGATTTTTTTCTGTCTTTCTACATCTATTTTACGTATCCATAAATTCCACTAATTTTTAAAAATTTTCGAATATAACAAAAAGTTATCCGGCAGGATTCTTTTTTTTTGGGGGGGGAGGGGTAATTTCCGAGTTGATTTCATAAAATTTATAGTGGTGTAGAAATTTTTTTAAACAAGTATGTTCTGGGTATTAGATTTTAAAAAAAAATATAGAGAAAAGTAAGGATCTATTTAGTGGTAAGGATGCTCAAACTGTGTATTCCCTCACTGCACATTCCGTGGAATTAAGTCTTAACAGGAACACGGAATAACCGAAATTATTGTTCCAACTTCGACTCATTATAATTCATGAAATAAATAAGACTCAAAAGTTGTGCTGCTTGTGTATATTTAAGCAACAAATATAACTCTTTTATGGACAATAGTTATTAATTAATTACGTGTGAAGCCTTCAAGTGACCGTCGATCATCAAATTCTACACAGGAACGTTTTAATATATCTAAGGAAAGGCTTTGCTAGTCAATACTGAACTTCAACAGAGTAGGCTTATGTTCCAAATTTATTAAAGATTTAACGCTTACAAGTAAATATCATGCAAATTGGTTTATACATTTACTTTATACCATAAGAAAAATATCTATTGCTATAACATGCGGAAGCAATTTAATTTAGTTATCTTAGATAATAATTGCTCATTAAAGTTAAAATGATAATTTTGGCTCATTTTGAGGTTTCAAATTTCCTTGAGAAACTAAGATTTCTATTCTTTTTGCAGGTAGGGGAAAATATTAGTTCCACAAATCAGCGAATAGCATCCCTTCATGATGATTTGAGAGTGCAAGACCGTGGGAAAACGTTACAGTTGTGGCGTTTGCAAACGATGACGTATCGTCCTGGACCGGATCACATTAGAGATGAACCTATTAAAAAGTAACTGACAATATGGCTTATAAACTAAACTAAGTATCGTAAAAAAGGAAACTAGAAAATAACATAGTGCTGTGGGAGTGTTTTGACCCTGGAATAGTTTATAGAAATGATGAAAAATTTTGTTTGAATAAGGTTTTTAATTTAACAAATAACCCAAAGAAACTGAAGCTAAAAGATATTACCTATTTAAAAAATTTATTCGCTTCAAAAACACACAAAAAAGAAATAACATTCGACATGTTTCAAGAGCTTGAAAAATAGGCGCCCATTTTCAAAATTTACCTGACGTAAATGAGAAGATGCTAAAGTGATTTGAATTATAAAACGCTTTATATTTTGAAGTGAAAAAAAATATATAAAAGGTCCCCACAAAGGACAGTGTCCCAGTTGTGTCAAAGGGTCAATTCCTATGGTCAAAACTGTTGCCATTTTTTTTTTTATATACACAAGGGAATTGGAAACCTGCAAGTAACGTCATCGTAGATGAATCGTGACATTTGTCGATACAGAAGCCAATCTGGTTCAACACGTCGCTTACAAGTATCCAATGAAAACTAATTTAAATCATATAGTTAAGCATAATCACTCCCTTTATTCTCTAGTTTCAAGCACCCAATAGAAATCAGTATGGTCTTGTTTATAATAAAACATCTTTAAATGAGACGTGATCAAAAATTTTCCGTTTGAGATCGCTGTTGCAGAATGCGTGCATTGCAGTGAAGCTAACAAACTGCTTATATTACAATAACCTTTGATTATTCCTAGTCCCCACTAAATTTTGTAAATGTCATTAAATATTTAATATTTATGAAATTTATTGGTTTATTTTTATAATTCCCGGCTCATAATGGGGCATGCAATAAATTCGGTATCTTTTGTAGAATAATCAAGTTCCTATTGCAAAAGAAAAATTAATATTTTCAATTAACACTAAAAAATTCGTTGTTAAGAGTTAAAGCATACTGTAGTATTTTGATTTAAGAAATACTTGGGAAACAACACTTATGGCAATTTACCAAATTTATAGGTAATAATGCAAAATAACCAGATTAATCACATTTACCGTAATCTAGACTAATGCAGGTGTACTACCAAATGAATCCAAACAGCACCAGTGTCTGTGTTATTTTTTTTTTATCACCACAGAATAAAATTCGATATATATGCATCATAGAATAAAGAACGTGCATGTGCAAGCTTGTCTATCGAAAATCAACGTTGTAGAATGGTGCTCAAATCTTAGTGCTAGTCGTGATTCAATTCGATACAAGTTGATCTGTTAGGCCTTTTACATGCATGATAACGTAAGTACCCATATCGCAAATATCATTGCTCAGAAATATCACACACTTAAGTAGGACTCTCTTTTTGTGTTTTTTTTTTTTCTTTTTTTGTTTTTACCTCTTCTTAAAAATACCAATAAAAAGTCAATGGCTACTTACTTAGACGGAGAAAAGCAACAAGCAGTTTCAGCCTTCATCTAGTCGCAAGAAGACGGGTCTAACCAAATGGTTATGTTCTAACAGGTGAAGTGGAGTCACGATCGCTCTGAACAATATTAGATCAGAAAAACTTTTTAGCTGGTTCTTTTTTTTTGTTTTTTACCACAATAAAGGACACACGACTTGCTCTTCCTCCATCTTTTTTATTTCTATTTCACTTAATACACATGACTCTTCCCAGCGCCATCTCTTGATCTTTTTTTAATTAATTTGGCGCGGGAACATACTCCCGACCTTGAAACCTTAAGGGTTTCAAACTAAATAAATGATAACATATAGAATCAAAGATATATAAAATACAAAATAAGCAATATATGGAAAACATTTAAATCCAACAATATTCACACAATCAAGTAAATTAGTAAAATATATAACAAAATTTTAATTATCATTGATAGGCAATAGACAAATATCACGAACATTTCTTTTCAACAAATTGCCATTGGCCAACCTTATATTGACAACTCGTACCTTTTCATCTTTACCAAAAATAATTTCCGATATTCTTCCAGTCAACCATTTGGTACTAGGCATACTTTCGTCTTTAATCAAAACTAATGAACCTACTTTAACATTGTTTTTAGGAAACATCCACTTACCCCGTTGTTGCAAATGGGATAGATAATCTCGTTTCCAGAGCTTCCAAATTTGTTGACTGTATTTAGTAATTTTTTTCCATTTAGAAAGTTTATTTTCAGGAATGTCAACAATCTGAGGCTCAACAATGGAAGTTAAGGGGCGGCCTATT